AAAAAAAAAAAGCCTGAACTGTGGTTCATGAGATATTTTGCTAACACACAAACCCACGGTCCATTTACTGCAAACATCTATACACGGATATTTAAACAAGCTGAAAACATTCACACAACTAGGAAACGATTATATAAACAGAATTTGACAAATTATTTGCGTCTCGCCCCGAAACAATCCTTCGAGATTTAACGAGAAGCTAAGCTGTCGGGACTGAATCCCTGCACACTCCATCAAACACACCGTGGATCGCTACATTTCCTGTTCCTCTCCACGTCCAGGAACTTTAATTTGAAACAGCAGCATCTGGTTTTTCCTTCTTTCTCCGTTGAAATAATAGTTTTGAAATGCGCCTCTCACGCTGCTGCAGCTCGGAGGTCGTGCTGGTGCACAGCCGACGTCCTTTAAAGCACGGAGTCTGGGTTTGTGCGAATTTAGTCCACCTTCAAAAACCTCGTTAAATCAACTCCAGTATGTTAGCTGCCTGCAGCTTTCATTCAGAACGTCATTTAGACTTATTCAGTTTGGCTGCTGCCAAGAGGAGAAGGTGACAATGTCTTTTTTTTGTGCCCGTCTGTTAAAATATCTCATGATGGGTTTTAATGAAACTTGCAGAAATGGTGCCGCAGATCGGTGAAACAATCCGTCACTTGGCGATACAAGCATGAAAACTGCCACAAACAAGCTCCTAGACCTAGATTTCCCAAAAACCACAGTATCTACAAAAACAATAGCCTCCATTTTCCAAGATGGCCACATTTGGCTCTTTTTTGTTGTTGTTGTGGTTTTTAACCTAAATTGAGGTAAACTCATTTTAATTTCCCTATTTGTAAAATATTGGGGAAAAAATGGGCGTGCTAAATTAAATTCTGGAGTCCAAAAAAACGTAAATTATTTAAAAAAATGTGAGTGTAAAAGTAAATTAAGACCATAAATGAGGGACATGAAGGTCTAGTGAGGTGGATTTTGACTGATTACACAAAGCCTGCCATTGAAAATTTGACTAACACAGGACGACCCTGCTCTACTCATCACGTGCAAACGCACAAAGCTTTGTGCATTTGAGACCAGAGCAGCCGTTACTAGACCTGTCACGATAACGGATCCTGCTGGGCGATTAATTGTCTCAGAAATTATTGTGATAAATAATAATATTGTTTGAACTTTGTAATTAGTAGTTTTTTGTCAAATTTAAGAAATGTTGGTTGATTTTTGTGTGTAGTACCTTTCTTTAACCACCAGATGGCAGTATAAGACTGTTTGAACCGAATGATGGATAGTGAGGGAGCGAGCAGCGTGTTTCTTTAAAAAAAATGGGAGGGAGGCCACTTGACGTGACATGGGCTGTCTCTCGTTCCCGAATAGCCTGATTTTATGGGAAACGTAGGCACCTTTGTGCCAAATTTGGTGCTTGCATTACCAAGCGAAAGTTTCTTATGGACGACTGACTAAATGGGCTGTGATAAAGTAAAAAGTGAACGTCCACCAACATCTGATTCACATTCAGGCTCCACCTCATTCAAAATGAACTCCACAGCCAAATGATCCTAAAACTGGCTGTATCTCTCACAAATAGACAGATATTGACCTAAAGTGTGGTTGTAGCCGAGAATCATTAGATCCACATATTCTCAAAATATCACAAAATATTTTCAAGGTTTGACCAAAATGATTAAAACACAAGACGGCCTTATTTAAAACTTGGGCATGAAAGGCGGCGGGTGATATGCATCCTCTCCAGGAATGTAAGCCCGTTATTCTGGGGAGAGTTCTTGTAATCTTAACAGCGTCACGATAACCAATTAGGCTTTTTTTTTTAAATTCGATTGGTCAAAAGAGTCCAAGAAAAATCAAGATAATTTATGCTGAATTTATGTTTGTAAAATATCACCCGCTCCTCCTCTTGACTCCTCTTCATCCAACACTCCCTCTGGGGTGCTACAAATCGTGGTCTGGGAAAGAGGACCGTCTTTGTTCCTGCAGTAATTGGATGTGAGGGACCGAGTCGTGTCGGTGTCCCCATCACCTCCTCCTCAGCAAGGTGCAGAAAGAATGGGGAGGGAACCAGAGAGGAGGAAAATGAGCAAAGGAGAATGGAGTCCTTCCACTTCCAGACTCTGATTAGGCAGAGAGGGCAGCCATTATCTGAGTATAGTGAGAGCAGGCAACACCGGGGGGGTCGGTGTGACACACTGGAAAGGTTATCGAGACCGCCGGGGTTTCATTAGGACGAACAAATCACTGCTTTACACGCCTCAATGGAGATGTCCTAAAGAGACAGGGACTGGGACAGGAACAAAGTCCAAGTCTGGCCTCATCATCTGAAGAGGGATGAAAGCAGGGCCATGAATTCATTTGAATAAAATGCACCGTTTATACGTATGCAAATATCTGAACACAATAACAGCTCCTCAAAGTGTCCCCGTGGCTCGCTGCTACGCAGGAAAACCTGAGAGTTCAAAGATTTCATCAGTTCTGCTCAGCGTTTTGTTCTTGGATCACAAGCAACAGAAAGAAAAAACCTTTTACCCATTAAGCTCTCACGCCAGAAATGTCCTAAAATCTTTTTAATTAGTTCAGATTTTAAATTTTTAAGTTTACTTTCATGCATCCAAAGATTTTGAAGAATCTGAATGAACACAACAAGAAGAAATAAAGTAGAATAAGTTGAAGTAGTAGTAGAAGAACAAGAAGAACAACAACAAGAACAAGAAGAACAACAAGAACATGGAAAAAACAACAGCAGCATGAAAAAGAACAACAAGAACAAAAACAACGACAAAAAAAGATCAAGAAGAAGAATTAGGCCTGTCGCGATAAACAATAAATCAACTAATCGCATGATAAATGAAAATTATCGACCACATTTTCATTTATCGGCTTTATCGTTTCTTCGTGTCTCTCTTTCTACTGAAGACACTGGATGATAAAAGGCTCAACTCCAGTGTTCTTCACTGACCCCTCCCTTTTTCCTTTTATATTTAAAATCCATTTTAACCGTTAAATCGTTAAAAGCAGCTAAGCTGAGAAGCTTAAGCTAAGAGCTAAGCTAACAGGTCGACCTCTGGGGAAAAAAAAACCCTCCGTCATGTCGAAGCTCCAAAATTCACGGTTGAAACCCGTGGCCTTCGTGTAAAAAGTTGTTTTTCTCTGCAAAAAGAAGCGGAGAACTTGTTTACTGATTTTTTAATTTTATTAGAAGCTTTTTGTGGAAAAATGCTACGCTAAAGAGCTCACACCGAGCGTCCGCCATTTTGAGAACCAAAGAGAGACAGCCCATGTCGCGTCATGGGGCCTCCCTCCCATTTTTCGTAAAGAGACGCACTCGCTCCCTCACTATCCATCATTCGGTTTAGTCTTATACTGCCATCTGGTGGTCAAAAAAATGTTCTACATGCAAAACAAAATAAATGTTTCTTCTTAAATTTGACAGTAATTACTAATTGTCTAATTTCAATAATTATTATTGTTTATCGCAATAATTTCCGAGACAATTAATAGCCCATCAAAATTAGTTATCGTGACAGGCCCAAGAAGAATATCCCACCACCTTTTGTCCCAAAAATTTAATCTAGGATCACCTTATATTGAGAAATGATGGAGCTGATGTGATCCAATATCATGACATGTCACAGTCAGAGTGTGTGTTGGGAATGACTCTCAGTTACTACCACACCAAATCTTAGCTCTATATAAAATTTATGAAGTTAGAGACATTTTTTTTGATGGCTCATGTCAGTGAGTAGCTGTAGCCATCTTGAATTGGGTGGACTCCAACAGTTAAAGCAAACGTTTTAGGCAAAGATGTTGTGCAACGAGTAGCATTTAGAGTACGCGCTGGGAATGACTCTCAGCTACTACCACACCAAAATTTCACGATGATGCCTCTAAAATCAATAAAATCATTGGGATTTTTGTTTTTTTAAGGTCTGCTGAATGGGTTGACTCCAAAAGTTTATCCGTTGTAAAATGGTTTCCTGTAAGTTTCAATACATTATGCCCCGTGGTGACAGGTATTTTACTAAATTACAGACACACAAGCAGACGTGGCAAAAAAATATCACCTGCCTTGTCACTGTGGGTTCAGGTGCAGGAGACGACTTTAATACTTTACCATCAGTTAAGCAGGAAAAAAATTTGAGATAATTTTAATCTGTATTTGCATCAGGAAGGTACTTCATGGTTGAAGTGAGGCTCTCAGAGCAAACAGATTAATCTCAGGCTACAAAAACAAAAGGAGTCCCACAGAGATTACAAGAATACAGTGGCTAATCCAAGAGACTGGATTCAAAGGTCCACAGAAAGACGACTGGAGAACATGTTCCATGGGAATAAAAACATTCACTCCAATCAGAAAACGAAAAACGTCAGGAGATTTCACACAAAGTACAAATTCACAAAGTTTGTTTTCTCAGTCATCCAGGTATATAAGTATCAAAGTACAAATTATTCATCAGTCAGACCAGCTCCGAGTCTACTGTCAGATTAAACTACGAGTCACATAAAACAGAACGACATCGAGAAGAATAAAAGAAGGAGAGGGCACAAATCATGCTCATCTGTAAAACACGTGGAGGCAGAGTGACGACGCAGGCATGTTTGAATTCCTTTGGCAACAAGATCCAAGTGTTTACTGACGGCGGGATGAAAGACGGAAGCAGCCGCACGGAAATTCAAGCGTGTGAAGATTTACCGACACACCAGATTTGAAAAGATCACGTTTAACAGAAGAAGTTGGTCATCTGCTGTGTGGTTAATATTTGTTTTGTATTCAGCACTACGACTTAAAAAATATAAGAACAGAAGGGCAGCTGAGAAACTAATGAAGAATTAGAGAAATAACATTTTCTGTGAGAACGCCGAGCGCTGGATGATGCTGAAGTTGGCTGAAGAAGCCGAAACAGAGTTGTTCAAGCTAAAACAAGGAGAACTTAAAGCTAAAAGGAGCAAATCACTAAAAGTAGTAGCTAAAAATAGCAAGTGGCTAGCTAAAACTGAAAAGTAACAAAAAAAGCTAAATGTAGCAAAAAGCTAAACGCTTTCTCCTGCGGAGATCGTCAGTGAGCAAATTCCTACGGTCGATTTTGTAAAAGTTTTACGCCGGATGTCTCTACTGACAAAACCTGGGCTTAAAACGGTAGCTAGAAGCTAAATGCTGCAAAAAGATGGCTAAAAGTTAAAAGCAGCAACAAAAGGTGGCTAAATGAAGCCCACACATCTTAAATCAGTCTGCCGTCACCAGATTTTTAATACAGCATAACAGCTGACCTTGTTTGCATCATTTTAATGCTTTCATTTT